GGAGCCAGGAGTGTTTCCGAGATGGGTGGGGGGGAAAATCCTTTAAGCCCAGGACTGCAGCCACGGTCGGTTTCGCCATGCTCCTTGCTGGGGTTGCAGCTCCCACGTGAATTAAGCGAAGGCCTAAAAATGCTGCATACTTGGTTGCAGTCCAGCACTTAATCCCATGGCCTGGGGGCTGCTATTCGCAGAACAACAGGTTTGCAAGCAACTGCGTGCTGCTGGGATGGGGACTCCCAGGGCTGGCTGTCCCCGCACCTTGCAGTGGCACCCGTGGGTGTTGGAGGGATGTGGTGCTGCAGGGTTTGCAGACAGCGGGCCGAGTGGCTCCCAGTGTGCCAGCACCCATGTGATACCAGCTGGGCGGCAGCCTGCCGACGCTTGTTTTTTGGGAGGGCTCCGACCCGCCAACTCCTTTCCCATCAGCTTGCTGACAGCTGGGGTTTGGCAGGGATCCGTGGCCTCTTACCTGGCTCCTTGGGTGCCGCAGCCTTCGCCCCGGCTGCGCTTGGCTTTTCTGCAGATGGGAAAGCCCACCAGGACCAGGTTCGCCCTCGCTGGGCTCCAGGTTGGCTGCTTCCCATGCCAAACCCCAAATGCCTGGGAGCCTGATCTGGGGTGGTCCTGGGCTGCTCTGCACTGCCCTGTACATCCCTTCCTCAGCACCCATGGCGCGGGCAGGCGATGGGGACCTTGCTCATGCAGAGGGGGACAAGACCTGGGAGGGGACCGCGGTGTTTTGGAAGCCATTTAAAACCCAGGGAGGTGGTTTGGGTGGAGGGAAGATATAAGCCGACCCGCAGGAGGAGCCCAAGGGATTTCTTCCGAAGAACGCTGAGTGGTGGGAGCACACCGTAAGGACGGCTGTCTGTATCCCCCGAGGCTGGTGACGTGGCGCGGGGTGCCGGGGGAGGACAGCCTGCGCTGACTGCTTCGTTCCCATTTCATGGCAGCCCTGAATTCACCGCAGGCATACGTGGTCCTTCACAGACCATTTGCAGCCCCTGCCAAAGCTGCAGGCTTTCCACACGACTGAGCCGGGTGCTGTGTTGCTCAGGCGCTGGACGAAGCGCTGATTTAGTTTGCTGTGATATTTCTGTCTGTGCTGTTTTTAGGAAATGGCAATTTTTTAAAATTTTGAACATTACGACCCAGCTTTAAGCAAAACCTCCATCTCGAGAGCCTCGGATACCAGTGGTCTGCCTGTGCTAGCCTCCCCTTGGCTCTCCCCACGCCTGCTCGGGAAGGGATGGTTGCCAGCAGCTGGTGAAGGACGAATCTGGCAGGGAGCTGCGCTGCTCCTGTGGGAATCTTTATCGGGTCTGGTTTTGTCCTGTTGGCAAAACTCAGCTCGCGGGTGCTGGGTGTTGTGTGCAGCCCCACAGAAAAGCCGATCCCGTGGCACGGGCTTGGTGCAGCTGGGCTGGCGGCACGGCACAGCTGCCACTCAGCTCCTCGGGCATTAACAAATGCGTCGGGTCGGACCCTGCCACCCACCGGTGATGGGAAAGGCTCACATGCCAATGCCGTGAATAACGTGTGGGCTGACCCCTGCATGCACAGGCCACTGGCCAAGGACAAGGGCACTTTGTGAAGCAGCTGGGTGACCAACACTGGGGCATCCCCTCTGTGCGGGGTCCCTGCCGGGGTACCTGCCTCCTCGGGCAGCTCCAGCCCCAAGGCACATTGTCTGCGGTCTCTACGATGGAGGCCAGCTGTGCAAAGCTGTTCTGCATCTTGGGGAGCCTGTCATGGCTTGCCTTTCCATGCCTCAGTTTCCCCATCCAATTCCTGAGCCCATGCCTGGTTAACAGGCTGTGGGTGATGAGGGGTGATGTGGGCTTGTTAGCATCTCGAGGAACAGAGCATCAGCTTATTTTTCTAACAGACCTGGAAGGAAAACAGAGATAAAAGCCCCTGGATCTCCCCATTTCCGGTGTTTGTTTGAGGCATCAGAGCATCTTCCCTTGTTCTCGGGAAAAACGTCACATCCAAAAGCCACATGCCACCTCTAAAAGCTTAAATACCTGCTCCCAAGTCACCCAGAGAGCAGTAAGGTGGTAGTAAACACCAGGCTTTTTTTTTTTCCCCATTTGCCTCCAGATTTAGAGGCCGCAATATTATTCCTTGGCTTTTCTTTCAGAGATTAGCATGTTCTTTTAATGGGACGATACAATGTGATGCCCGGGGCTGAGCCTCCCGCCATGCCGGCGGCGAGGGAGCCTGGTCCAGACTGCATAGCCCCAGCGGTGTCCCCACCACCTCTTTTTACATCATCTGGCTGATTTTGGGGCCAAACCAGGAGTTTTTCTATGTGTTATTGTTCTTGGAGGAGCTCAGCCCGCATGCTCTGGCTGGGGCAGTGGGTACAGCCATCCTGCCTTGGGGATAATGGAGTGGAGGTAGGGTTGGTGCCGAAGCGGGTCTCTGCTTGGTCACCACGATAACGCGGGGCTTTTAAAGATGGGTGACACTGGGGAGATGCCCCAGTGGCAGTGGGGACACGTGGCATCGGTACGGGTACCCAAGGGCAGCGATGCCACGTGTCCCCACTGCTACCCAGAGATGGGAAGATGACAGGGCCCTGGCATGAGCTCAGTGCATCCGGCTCCCTCCAGCACTGCTTATCGCTGGCACGGATGGGAACCGTGTTTTCCCGCTGCGAAACCATTTTCGGGGGATTTTCTCTTGCTATTGTTCGGCTCAGGAAACAGCAATCGGCGTCAGGGCGAGTGGGACCATATAGGGCTCGGAGGGGAAATACCAGCTCCCCCACCCACATCCCCGCAGGAATTTCTGGTCCCGGTTGAGTAACGGCTGAAAGAGGCTGATCCTGTCCTCCAACCACCCCAATAAAATCCCACCAGAGCCAGCGCAGTGGGATGGGCTGAAGCCTTGTTGGGATTCAGCATTCCCCATCCGGAGGGGATGCTTTCCTGGCACACCAGCTCTGTGCCGTCACGCCACAGTTGGCATTCATGTGCCACTTTGTTGATTTGAATCGATCCAGGTGTTTCCCATCACCACCGGCATTTTGCCACCCCAGATCCGTGCTTTTCAGATACATGTGCATGATTCCCAAGTGTGTGGCAAGGCACCGGGATGCCAGCCCCGTCCACATCCAGCTATTGCTGCTGAGTTATGCCTGTGCTGTACCCTTCCAGCCCATGCTGGGGAACCTCGTTAGCGCCACACTCAATTATACCCATGGCAGCAGGTTAATTAACTACCCGAAGCCCCTGTCTTCCGGTGATAAACTGCTGCAAGAAGCAGACAGGGAGGGATGGCAAGCGGCCTGTGCCAGTGCAGGGTGTGCCCTGGATCTGTGTTGGCTGGAGAAACCCGTGCTGGTGGGAGAAACCTGCTAACAGGGATGCTGAGTTTTCAAGCAAGCAGTTTTCCCCCAGCTTTCCTATCTGATGACCCTTGGGTGCCTGGGAGAGCTCACGATCCTTTGCAGGTGATGCTGGTGGGTGCCCTGGCACCCGCCTGCAGCACACAAAACAGGATTTGGCCACTCGGTGGGTTTCAAGGAGGATGCTTTGAGAGCGGCACAGGAGTGGGATGCAGCGGTGGCAAACCAGATGCCAGCTTGGCTTTGGGCATTGGCAAGTGTTTGGCTCTGCCGGCCAGTCCGGCAGCCCCTGCTGATGCTGTCCTGCCGTGGGGGGACTCCTGCTTGTTGCCAGACCCTGGCAGGATGGGTCCTGCCAGCCTCGACCTGTTGCTGGGGTGACAGCAGGGTGAGGAGGAGGCAAAGCTCAGTGCGTCCCAGCAGCACTGGAGATGCAGTTCATGGTGTGAGGAAGGCAGAAAGCATGATGGGCAGGGCTGTGGGTGTGAAAGCTGCAGCTCGGTGGAGCGCATGGGTGTGGCAGCACCCTAGGGTGCTCTGCACTGGCCTGGGTGCAGGTTACAGGAGCCCCGGCTGCATATAAAGACAAAGAAAAGGGTGGTGGACCAGAGTGCAGGATGAAGGGATGGGGAAAGGGGACGCAGAGGACGTTGCCTGGCTGGTCACGAGGGGCAGAAAGGGTTTTGGCAGCTGCATTGCTGGGGTGAGCCCTGGAGAGCCCATTTCTGCTGAGCTGAAACGATGGAGCGGTTTGCAATGTGCCCGGCTCCTCAGCTAATCTGCAGGAGCTGAAAGCACCCAAGAAAGTAATTTTAGGGCTGGCAAATTAGGAAACCGCTGTTTCCTTCTATTCCTATCGCTTGCGATAAGAAGCCAAGGCACAAACTGAGATGTGAAGCAGGGAGCGGAAGAGGGGACCCCTCCTGTGCTGAATCGTTGGCATGAATCGTCTGTTACCGGCATGGTGAGGCACCTTCCCTGTGCTGAGAGCCCGGGGACCCGGCTGCCGGCCTCTCCCGTCCTTCCAGCCCGCTGCCTGGCAGGATACCCAGGGCTCCTGGCTCCCCCCCGGGGGAGAGGGGCCC